AGGAAGTATGACTATGGAAATAGATTGCCCAACCTTCCTTCTGAGAAGTGGCTGGTGGGTTTGAACCGCCAGCCTTCTGGTTAGCAGTCAAATGCCTTAGGCACTACACCACCAATATCAGCAATAAAAATTTAAAATATTCATAAGACTGAGCTGAAAATGTGCTCTCAGGTCTAGAGGGCAGTGAAGAATCTGGCCAATCATTAACTTGAAAAAATAGTTAAGAATCTTACAGCACGTTTTAGCCAGTCTGATTATTTCACAAAACTAAGTCTATAGTGCCAATCCAGTCCTCCCTTTCTTCAGAAAGTTAATGCACCTTTTCCATATTTGTATTTGCTCAAAGATTAAGCTTTCTACCTGGGACATTCTTGAGTAGAATTGCCTGAGAAACAGAAAGTTTGAAATCTCAAGGCTTCATTCATTTAGCCAATTTACTCAGTGCTACACTTAGGCACCACCGCCAACAGGAGGCAGTTCTTAGTCTCAAGAAGGCACTGATTGGGCAAGAAAAGAGACTAACCAGGAGTTTTAAACAACCCAAAATATTCCGGGCCAGCTGACTGATTAGCCAGTTAACGTGTCCGTACTTAATACAGCAAAAAGGTTTCAGTCACATGCAAGGTTTCCCCTCTCGACCAGTCAGTGTCGCTCCTTTCTTCCTGAAGCCCTGGATCTAGAGTTCTGAAGCTAGAGCTGGGTCTCGAACTCGCCCCTCTCAGCAGGAGAATGTCAGGGAACAGAGGAGAAAGAAGAGACCTGAGGAGAGTGAAGAGAGGCCGGCGCAGCGGAGGGGGACGTAGCCCACCCGACCCTCGAGGTTGATGCAGCAGGTAGCCAGGCCTGGCAGGGGTCTTTTCCACTCTCAAGGTGGGTCTTTGGCCGGAGGGCAGCCTAAGCCTCAGCGACACCCGCTGTCTGCCACGAGGGTCGCCTCCCAGTTCCTGGCAGGGCCGAGGGCGCGTCGGGGGCGCGCAGCGCTGCCAGGGTCTTGGGGGCGGCCTCGCGACAAAGCCCCGCCCCTCAGACTCCTCCCCCCGGGGCGCGCGAGCCGGTCCCGCGCGGCGCCAACCTTTTCCCGGGTCACCGCCCCTCCCCTCTTCCGGACCACGAGCCCCCTGCGCGCTGCTTCGGGGCCACGCTTATTTGCTCGCCCGTCAGCCTGCCTGCCTGTCAGTGTGCGCTTGGCCACCCGACGACGCGGGAGCCGCACGAGCCGGACGAAGCACGCCGCGCTCCCTGCCGCCGAGCGCGGGCCCGCAGACGCGGCGCCCTCGGTTCCCGGCGGGAGAGACTGTCCGGGCCGCCCACTCTGTGCCTCCCGAGCGTCGGCAGTGGTGAGGAGACTGGGCCTGGGGGAGGAGGACATGGCGGTGCTGAGGGCATCGGCGGGGCGCGGGGGGGGGGGAGGGTGGTCTAGGCGCCCCTGAGGCCACGTCGAACGCTCGCTGACGGGGTTGTACTGGGGAAAGAGAAGTGCTAGATGGAGCCAGACTGCACTGGCTTCGGCTTCGCCTGAGGGAAGGGCTGGTGTGGCGGGGCCGCCCAAGAGGGTTTCCGTGGGACCCTCGGCGGGATCCAGAGGAAGGAGACGCCGCCTCGAGCGAGGGTTCTGCCACGTTTCCACCGCGCCGGGGCGCGCGTTACCTTCTGCTTCAGGGTGGGCGACAGTTCTGTTCCTTCCCAGTGCCAGGCCGACCCCCTCCGCTCCCTGGGTTTTGGCTCCTCCCTTTTGAGGCTGGGGACCTGGGTTTGCTTTGTGAGGGGTCGCGCATAAGGGAAGCTCGGTCCTCGAACCCAGGGCCACTCGTTAACTAGAGGCCTGCCTAGGGGCAGCGGACCCTGAGGCCAGGTAGGGGGCGCACACCACGGAGTATACTTAGGGGTGAGGAGCTAACTGGGCTCTAGGCCCCTCCCCCTTAACTTGGAAAAACGGGATTGCAGAAGTTGGACGCAGCTTCCAGGCCTTTCTTTCGAGAGATGGAAGATGCTTAATGTCTTCTCACCTATCACTCCTAAAACCCAAGCTTAACAGCAGGTTTTGATGGCTTAAAAAGTAAGTCTCCAGGCCCCTTAGAACATTCTTTTTCTCCTCATCGTCAGGAGATCCCCCTTTGTAATGTCTCCGCGGGCAGGTTAAGATCTCTTCACCCCCACAGGCCAGCATTCCCGCTTCCACAACCTTGGAAAGTCAATCAGGAGAAATACTTGTTTCTAGAAACGGTGGCGATTAGGTTTTCATTGCAAGGGAGGGAAAAGTTATAAACTCCTGGAAGGCAGGGCTTGATTTTCCTCTGGATTTTATCCATGCAGTCGTGAGCAGGAGTCTTTGGAACAAAGTAGAAGTTGAGGGGTAGCCACCGAGGTGATACGTCCCAGCATGACGTCACCGTGTGATGTTTAAAATGGGAGCCTCCCCCCATCCCCCCAAGTGTGGGTGAGAGAATTGTGGCTACTTAGTGAAGACGCCTGAAGTGTTTTTAGTCCCGCCGTGTCTGGTTTTTCTCTCCCTATTACTCGCTCCGTTTTACCTTTTAGTATTCCTAGAACTCTGGTGGAGGTGGGGTAGGTTTTTTTTTTTTTTTAAACTTTTCCAGTCGTCATTCCTTCAAAATGAAAATAAATAATTTCACATGACTCATCTCTTACAACTAAAAGCAAAAGGGAAGGCCACTAAATGGCTCTTTCCTTCCTTTTTGTTTTTTAATGTGAAACAGCAAAATGAAAAGAAAAAAAAAACCCAATACTGATAAGTAACTCATAGTTGGCAAATTTAATGAATGGGGAGAATAATCTAGTTAAGGATTCAGAACATCCCTTTAGAGTGGTTCCTTGTTTTCTTTGGTGAGGTGGAGGCTAATATAATTCCATCAGCAATTTTCATTCCAAACCATATATTAAATTGCATTGGGTTTTCTCTTCAGTCATAACATGGTGGTATATAAATGTAGAATTATAAAGTGGAAATGGCTTGCATTTTTCAGGAGGAAGTTGCACAGCTGTTGTGGTGGGCTAGGCTTGTGTATGCCCACACAGACCAGTGCCTGGTGGCTGGTTGGGGAAGGTGGATTTGGCATTCTAAGGTTCCAGGAAGAAGGTTTGGGTGTCTTCCCATCCAGGATCAGGGTGACTGTGGCTGCCAGCATCTCTCTCAGATAACTGCATAGAATTTATTTCACAAGGAGGTTCCTTGTTTGAATTTGCACACAGAGTAGAAGAATCACATTAAGAGACTTAAAAGAGCAGATTTGAGAAAAGCAAAAAGGAAGCTAACAGAATCAGCTTTATTTTTTGAATGTGTGGGAACGTAAACTATTGCTAGGTTAGCCAGTTTTAATACTAAACATAGCGGAAGCTGTATGTCTTTAATAATTGGCTCCAAAAAAGTTGATGTTGCTTATTAGTAAATGCAGCATCTGAGTAACTCCAAGTTACTTATAGCAGACACATGAGTGAGCTTATTACAGTAAAGACAATGTAGCATGGAAACAATCCCAAGATAAGGTTTTTGCCTTTGTGAGTTAATCAGTGATAAATCAGATCTGCCACTGGGGGGTAGGAGGTGGGGGAAGTCCTTCTTTGAGGCAATTCCAAAATGCAGCTGAATCTCTACTCACTTCTTTTAGTTAACTGTGGATTACCCTGAATTTCCAGTGTCTTTAAATATGTTGTGATAGAGTCACTATTTTTATGTTGTATCTTTTAAGTAAATATATCTCCTTTCCTGAAAAAGCACTTACATAAACTCAGTGTTAGTTTTTTAAATGTATAACAGCTTTATTGAGATATAATTTACATACCATACGGTTCACTCATTTAAAATGTACAGTTCTATGATTTTAGTATGGAGTTTTAACAGTCATCACCAAATCAATTATAGAACATTTCATTACTCCAAAAAGAAATACTGTACCCATTAGTAGTCACTTTCTTTGACCTCCCCATCTCCCCTAACTGGCCAGTGATCTACTTTTTATCTCTATAGAGTTGCTTATACTAGACGTTTCATGTAAGACAATATAGTATATGGACTTTTCTGACTGGCTTCTTTCCCTTAGCATAATGTTTTATTATTATTTATTATTAGCATAAAGATTTATCTTTGTTGTAACATGTATCAGTATTTCATTCTTTTCTATGGCTGAGTAATATTCCATCGTGTGAAAACCCCCAAAAATCCAAGCCCACTGCCATCAAGTTGATTCCAACTCATGGTGACCCCCATTGGGTTTCCAAGGTGGTAAATCTTCATGGAAGTAGATTTCTCCATCCTCCTTTTGTGGAATGGCTGGTGGGTTTGAACCACCAACTTTCTGGTTGGCAGTCAACTGCCTTAGGCAATGCACCACGGGAACTCCTTGTTGTGCGAAGGTACTGCCTTTTGTTTCTCTATTCATCAGTTGATGGACATTTGAGTTGCTTCCACTTCTTGGCTGTTATGAATAAGGCTGCTATAAACATTTATGTTCAAGTTTTTGTGTGGACATAGTTTTCATTTCTCTTGGATATATACCTAGGAATATAATTGCTAGGCCATATTTAACCCTTTTAGGAATTGTCAAACTGTTTTCCAGAATGGCTCTTTAATACTTGATCTTAAAAAGTAGACTATTTGTGTTTTAAAATTCAAATCATTTCACAAAATTTAAACTTAAATTATTGTAGTTAAATATTGACAAATTTAGTGAAAACTATTTTAGTGTTATTCTGTGATAGTTCTGATTTTGTTTTACCCATCAAGAGCAGTTTGGTGAGCTCTTTACTGAACTTGTTTATAAAGCTCAATGAAAAAGATTCTTAGGTAGTATTTTATAATAATAATAAACTTTTTATGACATAAACAAATTAATGATTGTTCCCTACTTCAGATACAGGCCAGTGAAATACAAGATAAAATTGGAAGGACAAAGGCGAGCTATAAAGAAGGGATATTTTACAGAGCTTTATCTTCCAATTTTTATACTTTGTGTTTTTGAGAAAACCTGTTTTATCTTGGCAGGGCAAGATGAAGAATGAAATTGCTGCTGTTGTCTTCTTTTTCACAAGGCTAGTTCGGAAACATGATAAGTTGAAAAAAGAGGCAGTTGAGAGATTTGCTGAGAAATTGACTCTAATACTTCAAGAAAAGTATAAAAATCATTGGTATCCTGAAAAACCATCAAAAGGACAGGCCTACAGGTAAAAGAGTAGACTGTTGGATTGACTAAGTAAAGAGGATAATCAATTCCTGCAGTGGGTGCAGAGCCAGAGCACTGAAGAGTGTCTGGATCATGCCTATCGCAGTTTTACCTGCAAAATACAGTCCAGATATTTGTTGATGGAGTCCCACTGCCTGTACTTAGGGGGCTAACACTGTAGGATCATAGACATCAGTCTTCTGTGGCTTACAAGTTTGACCCTTGACTGAGTTCATTTATGTATGAGAGTTAGAAGAGGGTTTTCACAGGTCCAGAGGACCCCTAGAACTGTCACCCATAAATGGTCATGGTAAGAGTTGAGAGAAATGAGTTTCCTTGTATTTAAAAATAAATGACATATGTTTTTTGGGGAAAGAAAGTTTTATAGAGACAGGGAACTAAGATTATTAGACACTTAATTCTAGGTTCTTGATACTTATAGGAATAATTTTTAATATGCACAGTTTTGTGGTAGAAGTCAGTATACCTATTTTATAGATGAAGGTAACCTATGATCCACAACTGATCAATATTGGCTACAGGATTTGAACTCCGGTCCCACTGATACTAAATTCTTATGGGCTTTCTGTATACCATGTGACCACTGTGTTGGTACTGAGAAAGATTAATTTTCACTTGTACCTCTTTTGTACTCTGGTTTATAAGTTACATTTATAGTTTAAAGTAAAGAGCAGGCTCCTGCAGACATGTTCTGGCATGCTTATTCCCTAGTATTTATGTGATTGCTTGGGAACCTAGGTTGAGAATGTTCTACTGCTAAACTCAGCTGTCAGACTTTGTCACATTTATGGATGTGGTCACAAAAAATAAAAATGGAACAGTTGTGACTATAGTGACAACTATAGAAATTCTCTTTGATTTGTGTATACTGTTGTCCTCGTCCCCAAATTTTTCTCCACCTTAGCACAACTGTGCTTTGATGTAAAAGAGGAGTTTCTTTTAGTTGCTGAGCTCTTGCAAATGCATGACTACTCATGGAGTCTAGGAGAGAAGTGAAAATTTGATTTATTTATTACTCATTTTCTAAAATCAGGTAAGCTTGTATTCTATTGACAAGAAAAAAAATTAAGGTAATTAGTATATTTTCCCCTTCATTTTTATCCAAAGAAGTTTCCTAGTAAATTGGAAACTGTGGCAAATTAAAGTAAAAATGTGAATGTTCCAGATAAAGTAGGCTCAAATTATTTTTCATCTTTTTTTCTCATGCTTCTCTCACTTTTTTTGTACATCATATTTCTGATAGCGTAAGTAGCTTTTGTGAAATAGAGCTGTTGAGGCTTTTTACACTGATCTAATTGACAATAGATGAAGCTTTGGAAGTGCCAAGTACCGTACTATTACTGAAAAGGAGACACTGTCAAGTAAATGCTTAAAGGTCAGACAGTGTACAGTTTCATTTCCATTAATTCTAAGAACCTGAGAAAAAAGTTAGTCAAGCAGGATTAAGTTGGCATGTGATCAGAAGTATTATTATTGAGTCATTTTGAAGCCATGTTGAAAGAAGAAAAGTACTAGATTTAACGGTAGGTCGTTGCTATTAAAAATGAATAGAATATAGGATTAACCAGAGTTAATAGACTTGTCAATCTATAGGTAGGTTAGAAGTGTTCTTTTTGTTCCAAAATATGTATAAATTAAAGTTGTTTCTCTGCTATATGTGTGTGTGTGTATATACACACATACATACATGTATATATATATATATAAGTATTTGTGGAGGGCAATTTGACAATATTATAATAATCTATAAATATATTCATATGCTTTGAACAGTAAGTCTCCTATACTATTCTAGAAACAATCAGAAATGCAGACAAATAAATATGAATATGAATGTTTCTTGTATTATTGCAAAAATTGGAAAGAACTGAACTGTCAACATTAGGGAAATGATAGACTATTTTTAATGCAACTTTTAAATCTTGTTTTTGAAGAGTAGTTAATTGGATTAGTAGTTATGGTGTGTAGAGTGAAAAAATGGCATGAAATATATAAGATGCACATTGAAGCAAAGTCTGTTTAAGCATCTGTATTTTCATACATATTTTTTAAGCTTATAGCTGACGTCACCCTCATTGTTGATAAGAAAAAACATACACCTAAGATATATTTCCTTGTCCTTAGCCGATTTGATCCTGGGGACCATGGGACTTTTGAATCATCCTATATAACATTAGAACCTATAGCATAGGACCGTTTTATGAGAAGGACAAGTGACAGCTTACATGCTATAAGACTTTTTTCACTTAGAATTTGCTATGCTGTTAACAATGACATTAGGTTAGAATAAGCAGAATAGGATACTGTTTAATAATGTGAATTTTGGAGTCAAGTGGCATGGATTCAAACCTTAGATCCATTACTTACTACCTGTGTGATGTTGAGCAAGTTACTTAAACCCTTTCTGAATCCTTTTCTCTTACAAGGGGGAATAATAGTACCTAACTCGTGACACAGTGGCTGCATTGATGGGCGCAGGTATAGCAGTGATTGTGAAGATTGCACAGGACCAAGCAGTGTTTTGTTCTGTTTTACATAGGGTCACTATGAATAGGGACCAACTCGAAGGCACCTGACAACAAGAGCAACTCATATGACAGTTGTGAGGATTAGAATTGACACATGCAAAGCATTTAGAAAACTGTTGTATATAGTAAAAGCAACCCCTCCTTGGGTTTGCTAGGTGGTATCTCTACAGAAGTAGATTACCCAACCTTCCTTGCGAGAAAGTAGCTTGTGGGTTTGAACTGCCAGCCTTCAGGTTAGCGGTCAAATACTTTAGGCACTATGCCACCAGAGCTCCCAGTAAACCCTTAAATAGAGTTATTTTTATTATTTAGGAACATTGTTAGCTGTAATGAAAATTTTTTCACTGTTTTTAACAAAAATTGAAACCAACTAGTAATTTAACTTTTTTTCCTTAAAAAAAAAAAAACTTTAAATAGTATATTATTTGTTCTAGTTACCTAGTGCTGCTCTCACAAGAATATGCCACAAATGGAATGGCCTTAAGAAACAGAAGTTTATTCTTAGAGTTTGAAGGCTTTAAGTACGAAGTGCCAGGCTCAAGGGGCTGTGTGTAAGCCCCTCAACCCTTTGGGATTTAGCTGTGCTTCTTGCTCCTGGCCCACTGAAGCTAGAGGCATCTCTTTACTCAGGTAGCTAGTAGCTACTGAGGCTAACAAGCCCAAGATTGACAAATAAAATGGCACAGTTCTGATGTTATCAAACCATAAGGCAGGCCATTGATTGAAATCCATTGAAAGTCCCAGGATCGGCAGAGCATGGCAGGCTGCTGAACAACGACTCAGCTACATGCAGGGTTCAAGCATGTCATAAGCTAGAAACCATTCCCAAAGCTGCTACTCATATAGGGAAAGCAAACCATATCCCTAAAGCAGCTACTCAGCTGCTTGTGTAATCCCACCATGGAGTTGATTACGAGTCTCATCATGAGGAGTAACTACCACCAGCTGCCCAGCCACTCAACCAGGGCCAGCCAAGTTGACACAGAAACTTAACCACCACATTATTCTATTGAGAGAGTATTGTATTTTATGGTATAATTACTGTTTATCGACTTACTTGTATTACACATCTTTAATAACTTAAGGTCTGAGAAAGAGGCAAAATGACTAAGTTCACCTTATAAATAAGTACTAGGTTTATTGGCTAGTAATAAGGCTTAGGTTCTCTTCATTGATTTCCTAGTAGTAGATCTTAGGTGGTAAATACGTCCTACTATGTAACTTCCTTTTTCCTAATTAAGCAGAATGCTTATTTTGATGTGTACTTTTGCATTCACACTGGGAACCATCTTTGGCATTCCACTAGGTAGTTATGGTATTTAAGTTTTTTAAAAATAATAGTAATGGAAGAGGCTATATTGGTTTAGGTTTAGAAAATTTTTCTTACCTGTTTTGACAAGTTTTTTTAAAAAAGAAAACCCTTGGGTAACTGAAAAGTTAAATGAGAAAACCCAGTAACTTAAGGATTATATTTTGGTTTTAAATATGTGGAATGAAAGGTTCTATGTCTTTGATTAATTCTATATTTATAGAAAAAGTCTAAGTAAAGGGCAGCCTTCTTAATACTTTATTATATGAGAGGTAAAAGCAATGTAATGACAGATCAAAACTTCGTGTAAGAATCATCAATATTATTAACTGAAGTTCTTGTTAGTTGGTAATTTTGTTGCATAGGAACTTGGCCTAGAAATTTTTTTACCTTCAGAACTCTCAGTAATTTTATGCATCTTTCATACTTCTCCATTGTTCATTTTATGTATGTGAGGTTGTGTAGTCTCCAGGTAAACTGAGATAGAGTCACTTCTAGTGATTTATCTGGGCTCATATAGGTGTCTTCCGTCCACTAAATGGGTAATCTTCTTGATGTTGCCTTTTGTTTATAGTTTATATTTATTACCTGATTAGGTGAGATATGCTTCTTAGTTCTCCAACAGGAGATTTTTTTTTTCAACTACTCTTTGACAGATATGAAGAGCTATTACTAGGTTTATCATTAAAATTTAGTTAAAGCCGTTAACATAACTCCACTTTGTTGTAGATGCATTCGTGTCAATAAATTTCAGAGAGTTGATCCCGATGTCCTGAAAGCCTGTGAGAATAGCTGCATCTTGTACAGTGACCTGGGATTACCGAAGGAGCTCACTCTCTGGGTGGACCCATGTGAGGTGTGTTGTCGGTAAGTCTCAAATTTGGTGGCTGCACTGATTACTGTGCCAGAATTGATTATACATGAATTTACTTACGTATTCCTTGCCTTTGTATCTTTACAACCAGGAGCTTATGGTTTGCCTTCGTTATAAGTGAATTTTACTAAATACTCTTCTGGAGGTGATGGTGAAGAACTGTTCACATTTCTATTTTGCAGCTGAAGGAACTCAGAAACTGATTGGGCATGCTTTTTCTAGAGTTTTGCCAAGAAATTTATTGTGGAACAAGTAGAATTTAGTCACCCAGCCTCCTCTAGGTCAGCTAGCATCTTCTTTCATTGGTGCTATACTTGTTGCTTTCCCTGCTTTGGAAAGAAGCTAATCTCAAATAATACTGGGTAATAATTTCTGGTTGATTTCTGTCTTTGTTTCTGCTCTCCCCACCCCCATTTTGGGGTTTAAGTTGACTGATATTTTCAGTGGTTTTCTTTTTATAATGGGAATTATTTTTCTCATTTCCTTGTGAGTAGAGCTGTAAAAGATGAGTGCTGGATGTGAAATCTGTTTGAACTCCATCCATTCAAAAACATTGATTCTAGATTAGGAGCTCTTAGTTGTGGGGTTTTGAAAAATGAAGGAGAGAAACAGTCGCTTTCCGATAATTGAAAGGGTAATGAGTGACAAGAAAAGATACGCAATTTACAACTTGGTCTTATTTGTGCTGTAATAGAAATATGTGTGAAATGCAGTAGTAAGTGGTACAAAGGAGAAAGTTGTTGCCTCTGCCAGAGGGGGCTTAGGTCAGGAAAGGTGCCACTATGTAGGTGATACTTGCATTGGATGGGAAAGGATAAGTCTTATTTGACTAGGTGACAAAGTGTAGATTCCAAGCAGAGGAATAGGATGAACAGAACCATGGTACACCTGGAAGTGACTTCCTAGTAGCCTCTCCTTGATTGCTGGTTGGAGAGATGCTTTTTGATACAACAGTCCAAAGATGGTTAAAGATTTTGATCCCATTTTCAACAATGGAGCATAAGGTGAAGACATAGAGGGCCAAAAATACATGGGTATTCTTCACTGAATGTTTTCAGGACCATCCCAAGTGATTGCTGTGTGATTTTCCAGCTGTTAGTGTAAGCTCATTTATTTAGGAAACCTGGAGAAAGGAGGTAGAGGTTTTCAGAGATAAAGATTCTCTACCGCTTCTTTCTCAGGTAAAGAAAGGAAAAGCAAACCATCTCAATTTAGGCCAGAAAGTAAAATAATTTTAGATTCTGGGGCTAATTAAAGACTCAGCTTAGGCGAGGGTCAAACCTTGACTACTTCAGCAACTGAACCCCTGCCAAAGGCCTCAGTTTATAAGAAATAGCTCTCAAAAAGTTATTAGATTGAATTGCTTACTTATTAGGCTTGTACTTAAATCTTTATTGACTCCTACTTAACACACAGTTCTTTGTTAGTATGTAGTTTCTCAGCCCATAAAAGATTAGAAGTAGCATTTGAAGGAGGGCTGTTCACAGTAGTCATAAAGCTACAAAAAGATGTTATAGTCTGACATAGAAGTAGAAGTGAAGAAGATAAGAAATAGTAAAAAAAATGCTGGGATCTTAAAAGCTAGCAAGCTGCCATCTAGAGGCAACGATGGGTCTCTCCTCATCCAGAGCAAAGAAGAATGAAGAAAACCAAAATTCATGGAAACAATTAGTCCTAGCGACTGGT